CTCCCTACTGCTGGTGAAGAGAGCATTATAAAAAAGAAAAAAGCAGATAGCCAGCCATACTCTAGCCACCACCTGCTGCCAGTACAGTAGTGTAGTTTGTGGGCTTCATATTTATTCTTGGAAAAGTTCGCATGGGACAAGATAAAGTAGTTAAATTACAGCACCAATCTGTAATTGCAGTCACCTTTTTCACCAGCTCCTATCATGCTGGGTTAACAGCTGAGGGATGAGCCTGTGATTTTAGAAGTATCCAACCCATAAATTTCCATGTATAACTGCAATTACATTAATTGACAACCATGTTAATAGGTTGAGGGCAGCTTCTGTGGAAGCTGAAGATGAGAGTGTTCAGATGATGTCAGTTGTTTTCAGATGAAGTCAGCTGGCCAATGAGACTGCGTACAAGGAGGTCATGGAAATCTCAGAGGTTTCTCAGAACATCAATCACCCATCTTCATATTTTGTCTGGGTTGTTGGAGCCAAATCCATTGCTTCTTCAAATCGAGCTGAGTCCTGCAGCTTCCACATCCACTGGGTTGCTTTCCATATTCAGCACACAAGGAACAGGAAAGTGTGGGCAGAATACATCATTCTGCATTTTACCTGAGTCTCTGGAATGGGACTGCGTGCCACACAGCTGTCGCTAATAAAGAAAAGACACATTAGTGTCAGGCTGCCTTTCACACACGGCCGCGTGGTGCCACCTTCAGACCAAAACCAGACATTCCCTAGTGCTCTCCTCACTCCAGCCCCAGCCAGAATCATCCAGCCCTCAGTGACAGTGAATCCAAAACACGGCCCAACTTCAGATCCAGACAGAACTTTGTTTCCCTGCAAAGGAAGGCAAATAAAACCGAAGGAGCTGGCCATTTGCAACACTAGATCATTAAAGGCCGTGTCCAAATCTACAAAGTCCTAAATCAGATTCTTTTATTTCAGAAGAAAGAGCTTTCACAGAGTAACCCATCCCGAGTCTGGCTACGAGGTCTTGTGGGTCCTCTTCCATTCCTAAGGTGTCAGGCACTAATATTATGGTACATTGGTTAGTAAAAACTAGTAAAAACCAAGATTAGCATTTTTAGAGAAACCTTAACATGACCTTCTGAGCAGCAATTTTACAACCACAACCAATTATAGGCAGAATAATTGTGGTGAAACTAATTTGAGGAACTAATGATAGCATTTAAATGCCTGATCTGCAGATACAATTTGACATAATGTATCTGTTTTTACATGAGACAGAAGTTTCTAGCAGATGTAAACAACAGAAGCCATCAATCAGAAGATGAAGTAAGCATTTGGCTTTTGGTTTTTTTCACCCTCATATCCAAAATGGAAACTGATGAGGTCATTTCTAGCTATTTATTTTTTGATTACTCAGAAAGAATGATTTAATTAACATAGGGTCCTATGTTGCTAAATTACTGAGGTATCAGCTATATATTTTCTAACCTAGTGCAATCTTACTTACTTCTGAATTTTACTTTGTTCTAATTTCTTCTTCAAAGCAGAAATACTGAAACACCAAATCCTATTAATCTCTTACGTTCTCCTGTCTTTGCTTTACCATTCTTCCAACCCCCTTCTTCCTCTTCAGTATTACTACTAGCTTTTATAGAAAGCTTTACAGTTCACATGGATTTTATTGGCATATGCCAAATTGGGAGTGGTTGGAGGCAGAGGAATGTGTCATTAGCACAATGTCATATTTATCAAATATAATTGCCATAAAGGCAAGCTCATCTTGCAAGATACACAAAATAAAAAGCAAGATCTGACATGAGTTTGTCTCTTGGCCTAAAGTACTGTTTATACACAGCAAGATGTCTAAATCTCCATCTTCTCTTATTGATATAACATGATATACAACATATTGTTAGCAATCTAGTAAAGTTTGTCTACTTCTGTGTTAAACAATCTTTGGGGATTTTTTTGTAATACTTTTGGGTTGGGTTTTTTGGGGGGGGTGCTCAGCAAAAATAACCAACATTTATCAGGGATTGGGTGACATTAGACCAAACTTCTTTAAGGCCCAACCTAAGTCTCAAAACATACCATTTTTGGGGACAGCTTTCAGCCACAAAGCTCTCATCTGTGACACACTGGGATCCACGCAGCTCCCATGAAGACCCCTCAGCTTCCTCTAGCATTCTGGAGAGCAGATACCCCAGAGAAATGCTCACATGTGACATTGTAGACCTCAATCTCTATGCATCAGGGCTATGATAGCTTTGGGAACTTGTGTATATAACCTCTAATTACTGTTCATAGAATCATAGAATGGTTTGGGTTGGAAAGGACCCTAAAGATTATTGAGTTCAAACCCCCCTGCCATGGACAGGGTCATCTTCCACTAGACCAGGTTGCTCAAAGTCCCATCCAGCCTGGTCTCGAACACTTCCAGGGATGGGGCATCCACAACTTCTCTGGGCAGCCTGTTCCAGTGTCTCACCACCCTCACAGTAAAGAATTTCTTCTTAATATCTAATCTAAATTTCCTCTCAGTTTAAAACAGTTACCCCTCATCTTGTCGCTACACTCCCTGATAAAAGAGTCCCTCCCCATCTCTCCTGTAGGCCCCCTTTGGGTACTGGAAGGCTGCCATAAGGTCTCTCTGGAGCCTTCTCTTCTTCAGGCTGAACAATACCAACTCTCAGCTTGTCTTCACAGGAGAGGTGCTCCAGCCCTCTGATCATCTTTGTGGTCCTCCTTTGGACCTGCTCCAACAGGTCCATGTCCTTCCTGTGCTGAGGACTCCAGAGCTGGACACAGTACTTCAGGTGCGGTCTCAGCAGAGTGGAGTAGAGGAGCAGAATCACCTCCCTTGAGCTGCTGACCACACTTCTTTTGATGCAGCCCAGGGTGTGGTTTCTGGGCCGTGAGCACACACTGCCAGCTCATCTTGAGCTTCTCATCCACCAACATCCCCAAGCAGGGCTGCTCTCAATCCATTATCCACCCAACCTATATTTGTGCTTGGGATTGCCATGACCCAGGTGAGGACTTTGCACTTGGCGTAGTTGAACTTCATCAGGTTCACACGGACCCTTCTCTCAAGCCTGTCCAGGTCCCTCTGGATGACACCCCTTCTTTCCAGCTTGTCAACCACACCACACAGTGGTGTCATCAGCAAACTTGCTGAGGGTGTACTCAATCCCACTGTCCATGTCGCTGAAAAAGGTGTTAAATAGTTAATAGTATGTTAAATGGTAATAGTATGAATTCATTAAGTAGTTGGTTCTTTGAAAACTCTAGCAAGTTTCTTTGTCTATATGTTTCCATGTCATCACGAATAATCAGTAGGTTCTCTGAGAGGTTCTTGGTGCTGGCTCAGTGTGTGTTGTTTCTCTGATTAGAGATAGGAACTTAAAAGCTGACCTTTGACCAGCAAATGCCTTGGTAAGGAAGTGGCTGGGATAGGCAGAAGCAGTTTTTCCTACCGCTTGGGAGATGATGGAGAAGTGGAAAGTATGGGAAGTTTTGAACAAGATTAAAAAGCCAGAAATAACAGAAGAATGGCACTGGCAGAAAGGAGAACGTGGAGGACGCACAGAAAGTTTTGCTTAGGGAGGGAAAAGACAGACAAGCTGTTGTGGTGGAGCCTTAGTGCCCCTCGCTGCCAGACTAACCAGGATCACAGCAGAGTTAATCAAATAATGAATAATCTAAATGAGGTGCTACTGCACTCAGGAAGTTTATTCCACAATCTGTCTTTCCTCGGGGTTTATCTTGGAGGTAAGAAAAGCAATGGCCAAGTCAGGAGCTCTGCAAAAAGACCCCAAATCCTTGTCTGTTAGCATATATATATATATATCATGTCCCTCAAAGGGATTATCAGCAAGGGGCTCAGCCGTTGGCTGAAGTGGTGAAAATTGGGAGGGTCGGGGGACAGACGGCATTTCAAAGAACCTGGGGTAGACATTCTGTGTCTAAAGCTGGGCAGTGCGGTCCCGTTTTCAGGAGGAACTGTCGTAGGGAGGTTCTCCACCAGGGAAAAGCTGTTCGTGTGCTCAGGCGCAGCAAAGTCAGCTGGAACCGCCTCAGACTCCAGACACCGCACCCGAACCGAGGGACTATCCCTGCACCGCTCCCCACAGCAGCCTCCCCAGCGCCTCCATTTTGCGGGGAGAGCAGAGGGGAACCCCTCAATCACACAAACACCCTCAGCTCCCAGCGCAGCCACCAGAGCGGCGGCACGGGGCACGGCTGGGTGACCGCAGCGTTTGTGTGAACCGGGACACGACGGGCACGGGCACGACCGCGACCGCGGCCGCTCCTCACAGCCGGACCGGACCGGACCGGGCCGGGCCGGGCCGGGCCTCAGCGCGGGGGTGCGGGGGGGGAGCGGGCTGTCACGTAGACCGAGCTCGCGCCGCCGGGCCGCTCCCCAGCCCCGCACGTGCGCCTTGTTTTGGTAACGGCCGCTGACGGAAAGGGGCGGGAG